GGACAGAGGGGGGGGGGGGCGGTGGGGAGGGTTGAGGGAGCTCTCCTCACCACTGGGTGACAACTACTCTCATTGTCGATTATTATCGATTAGTTGGTTACAGCCCTGTTATTTTTTTTTTTTGCCACCTAATTTATAGAGGTAGCAATGTGGGCTACCCCTTGGCCAATCACCTTTTGTGCTGATAACCTGCAAATTATTTGCCTCTGTAGTGGCTGTAGGTTATGCGGACAAGCCAGTTTTGATGGCTGGGTTGGAGTTAGGATTTCACTAGACACTAGTGCATCATCTCAATCACAGCGAGTCCAAACACCACAGGGCTGCTGTGAGCAAAGACCTCTCCTTCCCTGCTGAGTAGCCTTTGCAAGGTTTGTAAGGATTTTTTTGATGGTTTGTGAGGTGACAGTTAATTATCTTTATTTACAGGCACAAGTCTACAGGGTCCTGTCAAAAACTAGTTGGCTGCTAGTTGTTAATTTAGGTCTGCAAGCCTATTTAGGCTCTGACTAACAGCATTTGTCCATTTGAATGAATTAGGAACACATCTCTAATAGTTTTGTCTCACTTCTATATTTAAGGTTACACACATCAGTGTAATGAAGTTTGGTTGGTTACCATGGAATTTCTTTGTAAATTATCAATGTTCCTTATGTTGCTTTAGCGAATAAGCCACACAAAACCTGCTACTGGAGTCACCAGTCATGCAAATGATGCAGCTGACCCCTGGATGGTACCTAAGCTCTGACAGTAAAGATACAGTAAGTGTAAGTCTGTAAGAGAGCCCACCTGAGACCTTACAGAGCCCACTTGAGACCCTGCACCATGTGACTTTTGTGTGGAACAGCTGATCAGGAGGACTAGTTCAGTCCGCCAGCATCATGATATTTTCAGACAGCAATAGCACTTGGCAAATACTTAAAAAAAGTAATGTGTATATATAACTCTGGGACACGTATTATTTTATCAATACATTATTAAGCCGCAGCATTAGTTATTGTTTAAGAATGGCAAGGATCTCAGTAATGATATTGCTTTCAAGATGAATATTGGAAAGCCAAGGGCCTTATAGGTTTTTGCTATAGGGTTTTATCACATATAGTTACACTACCAAGTGCAAGGTTGGTTATAGATAATATTATTGCAAACAGTAATCCCTGTATTCAGCAAAATCATCTATATAATTTCCTATTTAATAACGTTTAATGTAAAATGTTCTATGGCAATTAAATATTTGCATCCAGGGGAGTAAAAACTGAAGAATATGTTATTTATTGTATAAGCACAAACGACAAGGAGAGGGCCACAAACGACAAGGAGAGGGCTTCACAAACGACAAGGAGAGGGCCGAGGCGCTGAATGCTTTTTTCTCCTCAGTATACACTCAAGAGGGAAACGGGTTTGACACACATGATAAAACTCCCAGTTTAACTCAAAATATACCCCAGTGGTTGACGGAAACCGGGATACAACAAAGACTTAAAATGCTCAATGCAAAATTTACAGAGAACACTGAGCCATTTACCTTAGCCTTTCTCCAGAAGGAGCTTACACTCTAATGATCCTACCACAGACATAGACGTATACAGTACATAAGACAATTTTGTAAACCTGGAGCAAATAAAATAAAATTATTTTTTTCACAGGGCATTACCACCACTAGATGGAGTTGAAGAACTGAAGATTTTTTATGGCC